TGGCTCTCTCTGCATTTAGAGATCACTCTGATTGGAACTGAAGATGTGAATGACAGCGAGGTCCTTGAGAAGGAGAGGAGAGTATCCCTGAGATGTCTTCCCTGGGAATGCTAGCAGAGGGAAATGACATACTGTCATAACAAAGTACCAGAGACCAGTAGCTTAAACAGTAGAAATGTATTTTCTCACAATGCTGGAGGTTGGAAGTTTGAGATGTAGTTGTCAGTGTGCTTATTCCCTCTGGAGGACTCTTTACCTAGTCTTCTGTGTTCACATCTGTGTCCTAATTTCCTCTTAAAATTTGCCAGTCATACTGGATTAGGTCATTAGGTTAATGACCTTGTATAAACTTAATTGCCTCTTTAAAGACTGTATCTCCAAGTAAGTCATGTTCTAAGGTACTAGGGTTAGCATTTTAGTACATGCATGGGATGGGCACTGTGTAGCCCATAACAGAAGAGAATTGGCACTGTACCAAACTCAGGCTCGATTTTATTGACTACTGATAAGCCCTGATTACTTTGCTGGGATTTTTGAGAATGGATCCAGGCCAATGAGACTGGCTTTTTCAGTGGGAAAGTAGGTTGTGCATAGAAAGGTATGAATGGACTTGATGACAACTTGGAACATTGGAATGCTTGTCACATTTAAAACTTCCGTACTCAATTATGCTCCTGGTTTCCTTCCAGAGTGTATACTACCGATACCCTGAGAATGGGAGACAGAGAACAGACTGCCTTCTAGTTCTCAGGATTTCTGATTAGGTCTCTTGTATTAGCATCTGTATTAATTATTTCTCTCATTGCTGTAGCACAATACCTGACAAAAATGCCTATTTTTGACTCACAGTTGGAGGGCATAGTCTATCATGGCAGGAAGACATGGGGTGAGGGTGGAGACAGACAGATACCCGAAACTCATTGGCCAGCCAGCCTAGCCAAATAAATGAGCTCCAGGCTCAGTGAGAGACTCTGTCTCAAAAAATAAGATGGAGAGTGATCGAGGGAGATACCTAACATAGGTCTTTGGTCTTTGCATACATGTGTACGTGTGTGTATTTGCATGCATATGTAAACACAACCCCACAAATATGTATACCCCCCATTAACTATCATAGCATTCAACTGGGGGTGTCAGCTTCTATAGCCCATAAAATGTATGTTTCTGGGGCTCAGCAGTTGTGATTGCATGCTGCTCTTGGAGAGGTCCCAAGTTTGGTTTCCAGTACCCACATCAGGTGGCTCACAGCTACCTGTAACTCCAGCTCAGTGAGATCCAGTACCCTCTTCTGGCCTCCATGGGCACATGCACATTCATGCAGACACACAAATACACATATTTTTTAAAGTTTATATATTTATATATATATATATATATAAATTTAAATGTGTGTTTTAGAGGCAATGGATTATTTACCTATGTATTAAATAATAATCTTAATAGTGTTCATTTTTCTCTTTTTTCTTTATATTATAAAAGCAAAGCCAAATAAAAATCTCTTTCACTGGAAGTCACTCTTATTTTTGAGACAGGGTCTCCCAGGCTGGCCCTGAATTTGCTATGTAGCCAAGGCTGGCCTTAAACTCCTGGAATTCCTACCTGTGGTTCCTGAGTGCTGGGATTATAGGTATGTGCCATCATGCCTAGTTAAAAAAAAATCAATCTTTGATTTTTGCATGATGAGGCTAGAGAGATGGCTCAATAGTTAAGAGCACTGACTTCTCTTGCAGAGCAGGTTTGGTTCCCAGCACCAGCTAACAACCGTATGTGATTCCAGTTCCAGGGGACCTGATGCCCTCTTCTGGCCTCCGTGGGCACTGCACAACAGGGGTGCACTAAAATACATGCAGGCAAAGCACTCATACACATAAAATAAAAATAAATAAATCAAAAATTTTTTTAAAATGCATGAGGAACCAAGGAATTAATTGTCCATAATTTTCTACAACAGCTTTTGTTGTTGAAATGGCATATCTCCAGCTCTCTGAGTGCAGACTGGAGAATGAACTTCAACTTGGCCAAGTGCTTGATGATCTGGGATGACAGTGATCCTTCTAGCTGGGACATTTTGTTGAACAAAGTGGCCTGAATCCCTGCTGGTTCTTGTTTGGGTTGCAGTTTCCTTGCCAGTGTGCAAAGATTGTTGTTTCTCACTGGCTTTCTGTGGATGTCTTTTGAAGCCGCTCCCTTGGCCACTTTTGTGCATTCGGTATGTGGTGGCATCCCTGCCTCTTGCCATCTGCCCTTCACTCCTCTTTGAAGTGAGGGCCTAGGTAGAGTGGAGCTTTTTCTGTTTTTACATTTTCTTGTTGGGAACTGTGCTTATCTGAGGACCCATGTTTCCCATAGGGGTTACATACCTTCTCTATATACTATAGAAATGACAGCTTTTTGGTGGGCAGCAGGCTAGAGGGAGGCATGCTGTCTGTTTGACTTTCATAAGGTGTTTTAGCAGCAAGGGTGGAACTTGTGCTTCATGGTTCTGCAGCTTGTGATTTCTTGACCTCAATGGAAACTCCTCATCCCGAGCTGAGGGTCAAGAATGGCCATTCAAGACAAAGTGATATTAAGCATTCTAGGACACGTTGGCTACCAAGTGGGGGATGGTTTAATCTCACTTCTGCTTTAAATATGAAGAACATTAATTAAGATTGTGTGGAGGGATTTTACCAGACCCTTAGGAAAGAAAAACTACTTAATGATTTTTGTTTTCTTGCTGCTGTTACTGATTCTCAAACTAGGATTTGTATAATTAAAGGCTCCTTGTGGAGCTCTTCCGTCTCCTGTGCTTATTCTTCTTAGGATAAAGCTAATATTTTTAAAATGAAGACTTTTTACCTTGTAAATGCTTGATAATTACCCAGTGAGTTAATCATATAAAAATGGATTCAAGGATAAATAGAACGTGGTATATAGCTGGTGAACTATTATTTATCTATGAAAGAATGAAATTCAGACTCATGCTATGACATGAATGAGTCTTGAACACACTGTGCAAAGTTTAATATGCCAGGCACAAAAGATATGATTGCACTGTTAGGAAGTAATCTAAATAAGCCAACTCGCAGTGGGTAGACAATAGAGGTCACCAGGGCAGAGGAGAGTTAGATTTAGTGACTGCCGAATTCCTTTTTGGGGCAATGAAAGGTTCTGGAAAGGGACAATAGTGGTAGTTGGTCAACATTGTCAGCAATGCCCTGAGTTGCATACTTTAAAAGGGCTGACATGTATACTCACAATTTACAAGTTAAAAATGATTCTAATGCAGGAATGGTTTTTGAAACATATACAAGTGCAAAAATATAAAGATTAATCTTTTATTATTTAGGTATCTATTGCCTGAGTTTCTAGAACTGTCTGTTGGCAATTTCTCTGTGGATCTGCCATTGGGAGGCATAGAGGAACCTTCCATATCCTGTTCTTCCCATTGTAGCTCAATTCCCACCCAACTTTTTGTTGGGAGAAATAATACTATTTGTAGAAATATCTCAAAGAATATAGAATCCATTTATTCTTCTAGAAATAATAATTTTATTTCCAGATAAAGTCATAGGATCAGATCGCTTCCTGCTTGGTGCTTGGGTGGGTTTTCTTTTTCTTTTCTTTTTTGTATTCCTTGCTAAATCACATTAGTGGCTTGTGTCTGGTATCACCTCTCCCATGAAGCATGTGGTAAGAGAGTCCCTCCTCTACATACTTAGGGATATTGTTAATTAATTACTTCCTGTCTCTTTCCCCTAAAAGTACATGATAAAGGATACTTAGGAATTTATCCAAGGAAAAGAAGGGTAGTACCTTGAGAGACAGACATTTTTAATGACAAGGATACGACTATCCCTGTGTTTTATCCTAGATTCAGTGTGATTATTACCTTGGATCTAGTTTCTTAGCATTGGCCACTGGAATGCTCAGAGACCATAAGTCACATCAAATAATAGTTTAGGACTTTGAAGCTCAGTTTTCTGCGAATTTTTTCCTGTTCTTGCCTCTTTTTAAAGATGTTGTATTCTTTACGTATTAAATATATATTGTGAATTAACTCATCCTTTTAAAAAGTTGGACAATGCATTAGTTAGGGTTCCCTGTAAATATATAAAAGAGATTTAAGAAATTGGCTCATGTAATTATGAGCCATAGCTCATGGCCTGGCAAATTTGAAATTTTCAGAGTAGGCCAGCAGGCTGAAGAGTTGGGGAAGTTATTGTCGATATCTTGAGTTCGATACTAATTTAGAGGGAGAACTCCCAGTTTTTCTCTTTAAAACTCTGTTGATTGAGTGAGGCCTATCCACATTATGAAAAGCGAGTCACTGATTAAAATGTTAATCACATCTAAAATAATATCTTCACAGCAACATCTGGGCTGATATTTAACTAAACACTGGGCACCATAGCCTAGCCAAACTGACCACAAAACTAACTGCCATAGATAGGGGTATGTCTTAAAATTGTTGTCTTACATATTTGCTTATTTGAGTACATGTAAGAGAATATTACAGTTCCCTTCCGCCTTATCTAGGTTCAAGTTTCATGTTGTCATTATTTCATCAGCTGGTAGGGCTGTCTTCCAAACCAAGGTGGGTTAAATGGCATAGAGTCTTCATTGTGGATGTGTTGAAGGTGTGAATGCAACAGGCTGCCAAACACGGTGGTATAAGTCTATGCCGTGGTGAGTTCTGCCAGACAACCCTTGGGAATCAGCCATTTTTGTGGATAGATGTGATGAGGTATGTGATTTCACCATTATTGCATTCCCAATTAGTTGGGGCCCAGGTGTGTTTTAATAAATGTTAACTCACTCTCTGTTACACTAACGGCCCCGCCTTGACTTGATTCCAGAAATTTCGTGCATTTGATATTGTTCTTTTGATTATGTGGTTGCTGTTCTATTCTGAAAGGTCTTCAAACATCCAGAGACCTGCTTTTTTGTTAGGAAACATTCCAGTTGTTCAGGAATGTAACTCAGCAGTGGCAGCTCTGACTTTGTCTTTTTCTCTTCAGTAGGCTAGTTACATTGCCGGGTGCAGACCTCTTCCTTGTGGCAGAGTGGAGCCGCTGTCTTTTTAAAGGTAAGAACCACAGCTATTATAGACACCCTTGGGTTGGCTTAGCCTGTTGAGCATCCATAGGAACTCCCGTATGCCTTGGAACTCTGTTTTCCTCTGTTTGCCAGTTTACTATTCCATCCCTCTGCTCACAGTGGTCCTGGGATTTGGAAGCCTTACTTGGGCTTGTTATATTTCTGTTGAGCACATGGAGGGAGTCTCCAAGCCTAGGGACTGCTCTGTCAATTAAAGACTTACCTTGTACCACTGAAGTCAGTCATTTGGTCAATTGAAAGAACTCACCTAGAATGACCTTCCTAGACTCTGGGGTGGGAGTATGTGGGTGTGAGGCATAATGCTTGTAAGTGTCTGTGTCAAAGTACATACATTGCTGACTAAACTTGGTAAGGATGGATACTAATTATTCAGTGCTTGTAATTCTCAGACATTTAAATGTCAAAGTTTAGGAAACATTTACTAATCCAAAATAGGGTGAAAGTGTTGGTCCATCAAAGAAGAGATGGGCATAGATGTGGGCACATTTACAGCTCTGTATTTTGTTAATGATGGCTTTCAGCTTCACTTACAAATTTGGCTTTCGATGTGGTGCTTAACACAGAGGCTGACCGTGGTAGGTTGATAGCCTACCATGACTTGTTTTTCCCAGGTAAAGCAGTCAAACCAGAGGTCAAGCTGCGAGAGTGCCAAGCAATGCCTTTTTTTTGTGGCTGTAAAAACTCAGCTTGGTCTGCCTAATTATCTCCTCCTAGCCGTCATGGATGCCAGCCCCCAGCCCAGAGGCCTCTGCCTTGTGAACAGACCTCCCACCTTGTATCTGATGGGTGGAAACCAGGGAGCAGGCACCCAGAGGAAATTGTCTGAGATCATGAGCTGTTTGGGCCCTGGCCATGTTTACATTTCTTTTCTTGTCGAAAGAGCAGATTGAATTATTAGCATCAGTGTTTGTTAGTGATAATTATATGTTTCAAGTACAAAGTAGGATTCTGTAAAATATCTAGTAGGATGCCTTCTTCTTTGCATTTCTAAATGAATGACATGGTACTGTCCTAATTAGGCTCAGGAAAACAAGTAGGAACCTGGATAATAACATCACTGTTTTCCTGGGGTTTAGGGATAATGTGGGAGCTATTACTTCAGTGTAAGACTGTGTTACTAGTTGTCCCCCAAAATGTGAAGATCAGAGAGGTGACAGTCCAGCTGTGAGACATATGGAGGTGGAGGGTCATCTTCCAAGGCCAAGAAATTTTCCTGTAACAGTGTTAACCACAGTACTGGGAACATTGAAACCATGGTGGTAATACTGATCATAGCTCTAATAACCAGCACCATCATGAAAGCTAACATTATTGGGTCCTACTTTCTTAGGCACCAGACTAAGTTTTTATATGCATGATCTCTTGTAATCATCATTGTATTCCTGGGAGGAAGATTCTATTAGTATCTACCTTTTATAGAAGAAGAAATTGAGTTACCTAAAGTTAGCCAAGCTGAAAAGTGACAGAAGTGCACTGTAGCTCCTAGCTCCTAGAACATCCTAGGACAGGGCCCAGTACACATATAGACACTGTGGCTGGCTGACTTCATGCTTTTTACCTGCCTGCCTTGCCATTTTCCTACCTCTTACCGTTAGTACTTTATCTGTCCTGCACTAAGGAAGCCATGAATTTATACACACACACACACACACACACACACACACACACACACCCTGTCTCTTTTCTCCCTCTTACCCTTAGTTCTCTATCTATCCCTCCCTAAAGAAGAGATGAATATATACACACACACACACACACACACACACACACACACACACACACACACACACGTGAAATTTTCAGTCTTTCTGATCAGTAGAGAACGGAAGGTCGGTGTCTGGGCCTCCTTGGCAGCATGTACCTGGCGATGCTCACTTTGCATTGCTTTGTTCGTGTCATGAAGATGTCTATCCACATCACCCACATCACTATGTAATACTAAGACCCATGGAATAAAACAGCTTCCAGTGTAGCCAGATATAGCTGTGTCTGGCCTTAAATTCTGTCACGGCCTAAAAGGAATGAAAGCCTGCATTTCCACTATATCCTTCTTCAAAGATCTGTAGTGGTACAGAAAGCTTGCCTCCTTTACCCAAGTTTTATTAACTGTTCTTATCTTTTCTCAAGTCAGTTTGCTGACTTGAATGCCCTCACTGGCCCTAGGTAGATGTGATGAGAGCTTGGAATCTGCTTCCAAGTGGTAGTTGGTAAACCTGCTGGCAAGTAAACAAGTGTCCTGGTTTCATGTGTGTGTGCTTGTGTTACAAATGCTGTTAATGATAAACCCTCATTTATGGAGGGCTATCAACAATTATCTATTGCTTAATAAAGCACTCTGTACTTGTGCCTTAAGACAAGACTTTTAAACCTGATGTGGTAGTACATACCTTTCATCCTAGCACGCAGGAAGCAGAGGCAGGCAGATCTCTGTGAGATTGAGGCCAGTCTGGGCTACATAGTAAGTTCCAGGCCAGCTGGGGCTACAGGGAAACCCTGTTTCAAAAATACCAAAAAAAAAAAAAAAAAAAAAAGAGGGAAAAAAAGACAAGAATTTTATTTGCTTGTGATTCCGTGGATTAGCAACTGGAGCTGGGCCCAGCTGGGTGGTCCTTGAGCCAGTGTTGAGTGGGTCATCCATACCATGATACTGAACTAGAGCCCTGGAGCTGGGGTTTAGGGTAGGTCTTCTGAAACATTTTCTACTCATGACCACTTTTTCCTGAAAAATTTTTACATAATTCCTGGCATATGAGCATATAAAATAGGCATACAAATCAAAGTCACTGACAATAAATCACAAAGAAATTTATTTTAAAACAATTCTTTGACATATATCTATATATATAAACTCTACTATTTATTAAAGATGAAAGCAATGTATGCTCATGTGATGCATGTGCTTATTTGTCTAAAACAATACGGTCCAAAGACATACTAATTTGACACTTATATGCTGAAGAATGACAGGAAAATACTAAGAGATTTGTTTTCTATAATTAAACCATTATATGTCTTTGTTTATTTGAGGCATGGTCTCTTGTAGCTTAGACTGGCCTCAAACTTTTTATGTGGCTGAGGATGACCTTGAAGTCTTGATACTGCTTCCATCTCCCAATTGATGGGATTATAGGCATTCTTCACCATGCCCAACTTAAACCATTATATTTCTATAAGAGTAGAAAACATTTTTTAAAATTATTTATTTAATAACCACATACTTAGAAGAAGCATTTCATTACGACAGCATTGACACATTCAGTAACAATTTCCAGAGCTAAGATGCATCCTAAACTCTGTAAGACATAAAATTAAATGAGGTTTTAACCTTTAAAAAAGATCTCCATTTCATTAAAATACACAGTTTCATACAGAAAAATTTATTTTAATGCAATTGACATTAAGATGTTTGCACATGCGTTTTTAATCTCCATATATAACTGACTAGTCACAGTCGGTTACTTTCTGAGCTCCTTGGCATCTGAGCATGGAAATAAAGTCATCAGGTAGATTTCAATAGTAATTTTTTTCACATCTACTAATTATTAAAGAGCAAATTATTATGTTTTGAAGAATATTTTTTCTTATTTTTAAATTTATTTATACACCCACTTCCCAGGTAGCACCCTCCCATAGCCTCCTTCCCCCCACTAGAGCCCTTATACTTTGATATCCC